ATAGTTTAGAAGCGTAGGCATGCGGCATTGTCCATGGCTTAAATTTCTAGGTGTCACAATTCCTGGAAACATTTCAAAATATTCACTCAACCAGTGTTTATTGACTAAAGCACTACGCTAGAAGCCATGGACAAGAAATGACATAAACTAATTCCTGCCCTAAAATAGAGATCACAGGCTGTAGGAAAGATATGTATCCAAAGCATGAAAACACGAGGAAGGAAATTTGGGGTCTTGTAAGAAATACACACAAAATGTTAGAGGAGAACACAAACTGTGGTTATGTGCTGTGTGGAAAACGCCTGACCTTTTAATACAGCTTTTGGAATAAGAGTAATTGCGCCTGGCAATCAGGAAATGGATCTGTGGTGGTTTTGTTATTCAATATATTTGATCATGTGCCATTACTTTTATGGAATAGGCCATCCCTTTTTGAGTCTCTCTCTTCCCTTAGATCCATGAGGCTGCACTAATCTTTTCTCCTACTCCCTTCTGACTACTACTTCTGCTTACAAAATGTATTATTTTCTTTTAGGTCCTCCTGTCTTCTTATTTGAGAAATACCTATTTCACATGGAGATCACACACTGGAGTCATTTAACAAGGGTTTAAACACTGGCTCTATCACATTTTATTCCTGCTGTCCCCAGACACACGCTTATGAGAGCCAACAATGGACTTTGCTCACATTCCTCCTATTGAGAAAGGGAGAAACCAGCACATAGTCAACAAATCTCCACCCTCTGGTTTGTAAGAGTCACTGTGTGTCCCCTGCCAGTGCCCTCATGGCCTCTGTCTTTCTCCATGCACCCCCTCCCAATATATTAGATAGAAAGGCCTCAGACTCTTGGTATATCACTTCTAAAGACTGCCAGTCCCACTTGTACATTCCCTCCTTATAGACAAGAGAAAGAATCTACTCTTAGAGCTTTAACAGAAACCCTCAATTCTGCATATCTCTCTCTAATCTTTCTCCAAAACTTCAGTTACAATTTTTAACTACCTAGAAAGCTCACCATCTTCTCAAATTCAATCAGGTAAGAGATCAACTCATCACCACATCCATGAAACTATTTTCAGATTTTGCCTTTTCAATTTCATTAATACTATCATTATTATCCAGTCATCAGAAATACTATTTGACAGCTCTCCCTCCTCCACCAACCATATTCATCAAGCCCCCCAGACCTGTTAAAGCTTTCTATTGCCTTGTGGACCATGGTGAAGCTCTGTGGAAAAGTACCATGGAGGCAGGAGTGGAAGCAGGTGGGCTCACAGGAAGCTGGCAAAGACTTTCAAGTGAGCATCGATGACGTCAGGGCTAAGCTGGTACAGTAGCATGGAGGGGGTGTGGTCAAATACAGAGCCTGTATAAGTCAGCAGTTTGCTCTTTTCAGAGACTGGATCCTACGAGCACAGCTCTCCCTTGCTTAGCAAGCATAAATTCAGATTTTATTTCAGATATTAAACACTTTTTTAATGTTTTATTTGATTTGTTATGTTTAATATGCAGACACAGCACAAAATTCAAAGGTACAGAAAAGTGTGTAGTGACAAGTTTCTCTCACAAGCCTGTTCCCAGCCTCATAGTTCCCCTCCTTAGGGACAACTACTGCTCTGTATCTCGCAAGCATATGTATATGCATATTCTTTATCGTGTTTTTTACACAACCGGAAATATACACACATGTGCACATACATACACACACATATATATCTTGGAGCTCATTCCACGTCAATATATTTATGCTACTTCATTTATAACGAGCTACATACGCTTCCATTGAACGGATTAGATTGGCAATAATTTCTTTAAGTTGTACCAATTCCTGAACATTTTGTTCATTCAGATCTTTTGCTAATACAGTCATGCGTCATTTAATGATGCGGATATGTTCTGAGAAATGCATCGTTAGGCGATTTCATCATTGTGCGAACATCATAGAGTGTACTTATGCAAACCTAGACAGTATAGCATACTACACACCTACGCTATAAACCTGTACAGCATGTTACTGTACTGAATAATGTAGGCCATTGTAACACAAGGGTAGGTATTTGTGTATCTAAGTATAGAAAAGGTACAGTAAAAATACGGTATAAAAGATAAAAAATGATACACCCGTATAGGGCACTTACCATGAATAGAGTTCACAGGACTGGAAGTTGCTCTGGGTGAGTGAGTGGTGAGTGGATGTGAAGGCCTGGGACATTACTGTACACTACTGTAAACTTTATACACACTGTACCCTTAGGCTACGCTACATTTATAAAAAAATATTTTTCTTTCTTCAATATTAAATTAACCTCATCTTACTGTAACTTTTTAACTTTATAAACTTTTTAACTTTTTTAACTTTTTGACTCTTGTAATGACACAGCTTAAAACACAAACACATTGTACAGCTGTACAAAAGTACTTTTTTCTTTATATCCTTATTCTATAAGGTTTTTCCATTTTTAAAATTTTTTATTTTTTTTTACCTTTTAAACTTTTTGTTAAAAACTAAAACACACACACACACACACACACACATTAGCCTAGGCCTACCCAAGGTCAGGATCATCAATATCACTGTCTTCCACATCCACATCTTATCCCACTGGAAGGTCTTCAGGGGCAGTAACATGCATGGAGCTGTCATCTCCTATGATAGCAATCCCTTCTTCTGGGATTAAGAATACTTTCTGAAGGACCTGCCTGAGGCTCTCCTTGAGGAGGTGTCACTCTTTTCAGAAGTATGTGCATGGTGGTTTGCTTGGTTTGTTTCTTTTTTTCATCGTAGATTTGCTCGCAAGCAGATAATGCGCCATAAAAATTCCTCTCTATTAACAGAAACCTTTTGGTGTTGGAGTCCATGTTTTCAAGCTTTTTAAGGAGCTTGTTGAGGTCTGCAAAAGCTTCTGCTAAACATTTCACTGTGAATTTCTTGGGGATTCTTCTTTTTCTTCTCCTGCAGTTTCCTTCTCTCTTGCCTATTCTCTAGCTCTGTGTTCCTGTTGCAGTTCCAACAACTCCTCATTAGTCAATTCCTCAGGAACCACCTCTAGGAGCTCCTCAATGTCTTCCTCATCCACACCCAGGTTAAAGTTGTTTGCCATCTCAACCACAGCCCTCTTGATTTTTGTAGCCTCCTCATCCTTGGTAAATCTTTTGAAGTCATGGACAAACCTGGAGTGTTTTCACCCTGATGGCATTCATATACTCCTTGGTGACATCACCCCAAGCCCAAGCAAAGTTCTTGATGCAGTCATAAATGTTGTAATCCTTCCAGAATTGCATCAGTGTCTTCCTCACTGGCAGCAATAGCCTGGGCAAAAGTGCTCCTCAGGTAGTAGGTCCTAAAAGCTGCTATAATTCTTTGATCTGTTGGTTGAACCAAGGAGGTGGTATTTGAAGGGAGAAACACAGCTTTGATGTTGGGATGAAGATCACTAATAAAAGGAGACTGTCTAAGAGCATTATCAACAATAAGCAACATCTTAAAGGGTATGCTATTTTCCAAAAAGTACTCCTCCATTTTACTGGCATAGCAATTCAGAAGCACATCTTGGAAGAGGAGCTGGGTCACCCATGACTTCTTATTGTTCCTGTGGTACACTGGCAATGTGTGCTTATTAATATGCTTGAAGGCCCTGGGGTTCTCACTGTGCCAGATCACAAAGGGTTTCAATTTGTAGCCTGCAATGTTGCCCCAATCAAAACTATTATCCTGTTCTTAAAGGCCTTGACACCTGGCATTGACTTGGTCTCCTTTTGGATGAAAGTCCTTTCAGGCATTTGTTTCCAGATTAGGGAGGTTTCATCCATATTGAATATTTGCTCTGGCAAGTAATTTTTCTCCACAATTAGCTTATATAGAGTTTCCAAAAATTCTTCAGCTGCCTTCACATCAGCACTGGCAGACTCATCACTCACTTTCATATTATATAGTGAATAATGATTTTTGAATCATTTAATCCACCTAGAGCTAGCAGTAAATTCAACATTGTAGTTGGGTCCAGACTTTTCTTTCAACATTGCAAACAAACTTTTTGCTTTGGCCGTAATAGTCATGGTGCTGAGAAGAATATGCTTCTGTGTCTGGTCTTCAATCCAGGTCTTTAGAAGTTTCTTGATGTCTGATATAGGCCTTTCTCAAATTATTTTTAGTCTCTTGCCTTCAATGAAGCAGATCTTTTAACAACTTCCATCGCTTCATTCTTGTTCTTCAAGATCATAGGTATGGTGGAATGGGATATTATTTAATAGGATCTCAATAAAAAACTGACTGATGAGCAATGACCATCATTGATTTTCCACCTTCATAGTCCTTAGTCAGTTTTAATTGTGTGTCCAGGTCAATCAATGTGGCTTCTTACTGGCAACATTAGCAGTGGATTTTGTACACTTAGGGGCCATGAGGAATGAAACAACATGAGATTAAATCAGGCACCAGAGAAAATGATGCAATCAAGAGGTGTGGTAAACACGAAATGTATACTCTAAAATAACAAAAAAAAGTATAGTATAGTAAATATGTAAACCAGTAGCATAGTCATTTATTATCATTATCAAGTATTATGTACTGTACATAATTGTATGTGCTATACTTTTATATGACTGGCAGCACAGTAGGTTTGTTTGCACCAGTATCACCACAAACACATGAGTAATGCATTACACTACCATGTTACGATGGCTACAATGTCTATGATGTCAGTAGGTGATAAAAATTTTTCAGCTCCATTATAATCTTATGGGACCACCGTATATATGGTCTGTTGTTGACCAAAACGTCATTACGTGGCACATGACTGTACCAGCCATACTATATTGATTCTACTTAGATACATGTCATTTTACACACGTACAAGCCTATCTGTAGAATAAACTCACAAAAGTAGAGTTACTTGATCAAATGGTATGTGTCTTTGGAATTTTGGTAGATATTGCCAAATTGCTCTCCACTGAGGATGTACCAATTTAAACTCTCACCAGTGAAGTATGAAGCCTACTTCTCTACTTCTTCTCTACTATAGTTTGTTATCAAATATTTGAATCTTTGCTGATTTACAGGTGGAAAAGTTATCTCATTGCATTTATCTTATGAAAAGTGAGATTGAACATTTTATGTAAAAGTCATTTGTATTTCTTCTCATGTGAGCTCTATCTTACATTATTGATTTTGAAAAATTAGCTTATAGGGGGTCTTTATATAATAAAGAAATTAGACCTATATATGCAATACATATTGCAAATATTCTACCTTCTTTGTAATTTGGATTTTGACTTTGTGGATGTGTGTGTGTGTGTGTGTGTGTGTGTGTGTGTGTTTTACCACGCAGAAATTTTTGGTCTTTCTAGAGTCACATTTATTAGATCATTACAATCATTTCTTCCATATTAAAACTCAGGTGATGTTTTTTATTGAGATCCTATTAAATAAATAGATTGCATTACAGAGCATCAACATCTTTATAATGTTACATCTTCTTATCCAAAACTCTTTTTTTTTTTTAATTTTATTTATTTATTTATTTTTCCCAAAGCCCCGGTAGATAGTTGTATGTCATAGCTGCACATCCTTCTAGTTGCTGTATGTGGGACATGGCCTCAGCACGGGCAGAGAAGTGGTGCGTCAGTGCGCGCCCAGGATCTGAACCCCGGGCCGCCAGCAGTGGAGCGTGCGCACTCAACTGCTAAGCCACAGGGCCGGCCCCCAAAACTCTTTTTATGTGCCCCAACAGCATTGGAATTTTTAAAAATATAGAACTTAAATATTTTTTCATAAGTTTTCCTTAGGTATTTTATCTTTTTTTGCCATTGTCAATAGAGTCTTTTCTTCTATTGCATTTTCTAATTAATTATTGCTGGTATATTGGATGACTATTTATTTCATCAGATTAATTTTGTAACCAGTCACCTTACTGAATTGGCTTATTTCCAACAGGAAATGAATTGATTTGCTTTTATTTACTCATCCTTTACAATATTTAAACTTCTTATTTTTTCTATCATCTAATTTTCTTAAATTGACCAAGGTTTCTTAAATTGACCTGGTTGGTTAACTGCAATGTTTTATGGGTATGTGAAAAGAATGTGAAGGCATGGAACTTAATTCCATGCAAAGCAATTATACTTACCTATTACTTACATTATTTATGTATTCCATTGACAAACTTATTTCTTATTCACTTGTTATGTCATAGACTGAGATATGGGAATTAAAATCTCCAATACCTAATGTGTCTCTATTTCCTCTTGTGTTTCTGGTAATTTTTGCTTTAATTATATTGATACAAAGTTATTTGATTCATAGGCATCCATAACGATGAGATCATCCAAGTGCATTGTAACCTTTACCATTTTCTTCACTTTTGCCTGATAGGCCTTTGCTCACCCTTTGATTTTCAAGTTTTATGACTCATTTTATCTTAGGCGTGTCTCTTGAATTTGAAAATATAATTAAATTTTGCTTTATGATTGAATTTAATTTTACTATGGTCTGAGAGCATACTCTTCATGATTTATATTCTTTTAAATTTGTTAAGGTGTGTTTTATGGCCTACAATGTGGTCTACCTTGGTAAATGTTCCACGTGAGCTTGAGAAGAATGTGTATGTTGCTGTTGTTGAAGTATTCTATAAATGTCAATTAGATTCAGTTGACTGATGGTGCTGTTTAGTTTACCTAGGTCCTTAACTGATTTTCTGCCTGCTGGATCTGCCAATTTCTGACAGAGGGATGTTGAAGTCACTAATTATAATAGCAGATTCATTTATTTCTCCTTGCAGTTCTACCAGTTTTTGCCTTACTTATTTTGATGCTCTGTTGTTAGGCGCAGACACAGTAAGGATTCTTATGTCTTCTTGGAGAGGTGACCCTCTTTATCCCTGATTATTTTCCTTGCTCTGAAGTCTGCTTTCTCTGAAATTAACATGGCTACTTCTACTTTCTTTTGCTTAGTGTCAGCTTGGTATATCTGTTTCCATCCCTTTACTTTTAATCTACATGTGTTTTTATATTTAAAGTGAGTTTCTGTAGACAACAAATAGTTGGGTCTTATTTTTTATTCCCTCTGATAGTCTCTGTCTTTTAGGTGGTGTATGTAGACCCTCGACATTTAAAGTGATTATTGAAATAGTTGGATTAATATTTATCATATCTTTTTTTCCTGTTTTCTGTTTATTATCCTTGTTCTTTCTTTTTTTTTGTTTTCCATTCTTTTTCTGCCTTTTGTGATTTTAATTGTCCATTTTATATGATTCTATTTTCTCTTCTCTGTTAGTATATAATTTTACTTTTTTTATGTTTGTAATGGTTGCCCTAGAGTTAGCAATATATAACTAATCCAAGTCCACTTTCAAATAACACTATATCACTTCACAAGTAATACAAGTTCCTTATAACAGAGTATCCTCAATTCCTCTCCCCCATTCCTTATAACATTGCTGTTATTCATTTCACTTCTCCATAAGTTATAGTCACTGAATACATTGTTGCTATTATTATTTTGAACAAACTGTTATATGTTAGATCAATTAAGAATAAGAAATATAGAATATTTTATTTTACCTTCACTTATTCCTTCTCTAATGCTCTTCTTTTACTTATGTAGATCAGTATTTCTAATCCACATCATTTTCTTTCTTTAGGAAGAACTTTTAAGATTTCTTTCGAGGAATTTCTACTGGCAACAAATTCCCTCAATTTTTGTTCATTGAGAGTCTTTATTTCTTCTTTACTTTTTAAAGGATAACTTTTCTGGGTATAGAAATCTACATTAGTAGGTTTTTTTTTTTCAATGCTTTAAATATTTCATACCACTCTCTTCTTGCTTGCATGGTTTCTGAAGAAAAGTCTGATGTAATTCTAATCTTCGCTCCTCTATAAATAAAGTGTTTTTTTTTTCCTATGGCTTCTTTTAAGATTTTTTCTTGGTCTTTGATTTTTAATTTCCTACCAGTACTGGTTCCAGGGTGGGTTTCTATTCCTGGTAAGCTGTGATTCTCTGTTTTCTCCTCTCTTTTCAGTTTTGGGGGCAGCCATTTGCCCTGTGACTCCAATTTTCTGACAGATTTAAGAAGAGTTGTTGATTTTTGGTTTGTTAAGCTTTTTTGTTGTGAGGATAGGAGTGATGACTTCCAAGCTTCTTAAATGTCAGACCAGAGCCCAGTCTCTTTTTACACGTGATATCAGGCTTCCTTGATTATGTGCAGTACTTATTTTTCTGTCCTGATTTCAGCTACTAATAAAGATTTTGTGAGCTAAGATGGTCTCATGAGCACTCTACTTCACAATTTGATCATAGATACAACTAATATTTGTTGTATACTTACTATTTCCTAGGTGCTGATCTAAGCATTTTTACCTAGATGATATTCCTGTCACAGCAACCCTCTGAAGAGGGTCTTATTATTATCCCCATTTTACAGCAGAGGTACCTGAGGCACTGAAAGAGTAAGTTTCCCAGGTTACAGAGCACATATCACCAGCACCAGGCTTCAACTAAGCCTTTTGAATCCAGAGCCTGCTTTCATGATCTCTTGGCATGACCGAGTTATTGATAAGGAAAGCATTGCTGGCCACAAGAACACTCACTATAAAATATTATTCTTCACTCCTCTCTCAGTTTTCGTGGAATTTTAAAAAATTGATGTCTCCCTCTACTAGACTATAAACTCCATAAGAACTAGGACTTGACTTTATTTATTGTTGCAGTTCAAGAGTCTGGGTGCTCAATAAATATTTGTTGATTTGAACTGAATGAGATCATGACAGTTTACCAATAATTACACACCTTATAGGAACATTAAAAGAAAAATTGAATTCATTTATTAATAAAACATATGCGAATTAAATAAGCCATCTAAAAGAATTTAGAAACATAAAAGTGTTGTTTAATAATGAATATTCATCAACATATATACATTGAGAAGATATTCTCTTCTTGTCATAAGTAAGTTAGTTACATTTCCTCAAGCACAAAATGCCAGATTGGACTAAATAGTATTGAGAGTCTCATCGAGCACTATCCAAATTCTGTGATTGTAATAACTTAATCCTTTAGTTTGAAAATATCTTTGTATCACTTTTGTAAAGACCCACAAGGGGGTGAGATAACATGTCTCTCATCAGTAACGTAGGTGAAAAGGATAGGCTGTTCCCGCAGCAACATTTGGGCACACGTCAGTCCTTCACCACCACCGCTGCTCTGCTTAAACTGAAGAGGCAATCTGAATAGTTAGGAGAGTTTCTAAGTATCTTGCGTGCGATTTATTACCGAATTGAAGTTGTCTTGTTTCTGGTAATTTTCTCTATGGGCCGGTAGAGGGAGCTCAAAGCTTAAAAAAATTTTTTTTCTCTCTGAGCTTTCAGCACTTGATTACCACAACTCTCCATCTTTGACTATAAATTTTGCTAAATTTTTTTCTTTTATGATCAATTGAAACACAGGAGATTTGCCCTCATATGTCTACCTGGTTAAAGAAAATAAATTGCTTTTAAGGAATTACTTGTTGTAATAATATGAAAATGTTATATCAGTGTCATAGTGTTTAGAGAATAATTTACTTGTTTTCATTTTAACCATGCAAAGGATAAGAAATTACTTTAGAGATCCTCAAATATTAAAATGAAAAAATAAGAATGAGTTATTTTTTTAAAAAGCACAAAGAGTATTCATGATCTAATATAATAAAATCTATAAGCAACATCCTACTGGCATTTAGTAAAGGTTAAAATCCTTACTCTATACAGGTAAATTTTTTCCTAGTATATACATTTACATTTCCCTTCAGATTAAGTTTTAGATGCACAAGTTTTGATACATGGGGATTTTCTTTGTAATTCCGTCCTAATTATCTTCTAATTTCATTATTCTTCTTTGACCTATGACATTTAGAATTGTGTCTTAAATTTTCCAATATATGAATATTTTGTTTATCTTTTTATCGATTGATTACTAATTTTGTTGCGTTGAGACACAAGAAAATGGTCTGTATCATGTCAGTTCTTTGATAGACTGT